GATTGCACTCAATAAGGCCATAAGTAAACAGGAAAACGCTCATCCAGAGGCAGTGCTCCTAGTGGCCGGGGACTTTAATGCAGGCAAACTTAAATCTGTTCTACCTAATTTCTACCAGCATGTTAAATGTGCAACCAGGGGGAAAAAAAGTCTAGACCACCTTTACTCCACACACAGAGATGCGTGCAGAGCTCTCCCTCACCCTCCATTTGGCAAATCTGACCATAACTCTATCCTCCTGATTCCTGCTTATAAGCAAAAACTAAAGCAGGAAGCACTAGTGACTCGGTTAATTTATAAAGTGGACAGATGACGCAGATGCTAAGCTACAGGACTGTTTTGCTAGCACAGACTGGAATATGTTCCGGGATTCTTCCGATAGCATTGAGGAGTACACCACATCAGTCACTGCCTTCATCAATAAGTGCATCGATGACGTCGTCCCCACAGTGACCGTACGTACATACCAGAAGCCATGGATTACAGGCAAGATCCGCACTGAGCTAAAGGGTAGCGATGCCGCTTTCAAGGAGCGGGACTCTAACCCAGACGCTTATAAGAAATCCCGCTATGCCCTCCGACGAACCATCAAACAGGCAAAGAGTCAATACAGGACTAAGATTGAGTCGTACTACACCGGCTCCGACGCTCGTCGGATGTGGCAGGGCTTGCAAACTATTACAGACTACAAAGGGAAGCACAGCCGCGAGCTGCCCAGTGACACGAGCCTACCAGACGAGCTAAATTACTTCTATGCTCACTTCGAGGCAAGGAAGACTGAAGCATGTAAGAGAGCATCAGCTGTTCCGGACGACTGTGTGATCACGCTCTCCGTAGCCAATGTGAGTAAGACCTTTAAACAGGTCAACATTCACAAGGCCGCAGGGCCAGCTGGATTAACAGGACGTGTACTCCGAGCATGCTCTGACCAAATTGTGTCTTCACTGACATTTTCAACCTGTCCCTGACTGAGTCTGTAATACCAACATGTTTCAAGCAGGCCACCATAGTCCCTGTGCCCAAGAACACTAAGGTAACCTGCCTAAATGACTACAGACTCGTAGTACTCACGCCTGTAGCCATGAAGTGCTTTGAAAGGCTGGTCATGGCTCACATCAACACCATTATCCCAGAAACCCTAGACCCACTACAATTTGCATACCGCCCCAACAGATCCACAGATTATGCAATCTCTATTGCACTCCACACTGCCCTTTCCCACCTGGACAAAAGGAACACCTACGGGAGAATGCAGAGGGTAGTGCGTACGGCCCAGAACACTGGGGCCAAGCTTCCTGCCATCCAGGACCTCTATACCAGGCGGTGTCAGAGGAAGGCCCTAAAAATGTGTAAAAGACTCCAGCCACCCTAGTCATAGACTGTTCTCTCTGCTATCGCACGGCAAGCGGTATCGGAGCGCCAAGTCTAGGTCCAAAAGGCTTCTTAACAGCTTCAACCCCCAAGCCATACGACTCCTGAACAGCTAATCATGGCTACCCGGACTATTTGCACTGCCCCCCCACCCCATCCCCCTCTTTTACGCTCTTTTACGGTTATCCCGGCCCAGCCCAGCCCGCCCAGGGACCTGTTCAGGATTCTGGGCAGCTTGGCATAGATTGATGCCACCCTGACTCCCAGAGAGATGTGGAGGAGCTCAAGTCATTCAATCTCCCCATATCACCACACTGCTGCTGCCTCAACACAGAAACTAACCATCTCTCTCCCTCTCCTTGCAGCTCTGACCGGCTGATGGATGACACAATAAGGTAAGCCTAATGCAGACAGACATTATCTCTCTCTCACACACACACACACACACACACACACACACACACACACAGACACACAGCACATGTTTTACTATCCTTGTGGTGACCTAAAATTGAAATCCATTCAAAATCCTATTTTCCCTAACCTTAAACCTAACCCCTAAGCCTAAAATAGCCTTTGTCCTCGTGTCCCCACGAGATAACTTTTCTTGTTTTACTATCCTTGTTGGGACTTTGGGGATAGTCACACACACACTCACTACTCCCTAGTGTGGACTTTTTTGTTGTCTTTAAACTGTCTCCAGAAATGAGGCCGCATTTGTTGTAGCTGGGGATTTTAACAAAGCAAATTTGAGGAAAACGCTACCGAAGTTCTATCAACACCTTGACTGTTGTACTCGCGCTGCTAAAATGCTCTACCACTTTTATTCCCCCTTCTGGGATGCCTACAAGGCCCTCCCATGCCCTCCCTTCGGCAAATCAGATCATGACTCCATTTTGCTCCTCAAATAGGAAGTACCCGTGCTAAGGTCTATTCAACGCTGGTCTGACCAATTGGAATCCATGCTTCAAGTTTGTTTTGATCACATGGACTGGGATATGTTCTGGGTAGCCCCTGAGAATAACATTGATGTATACACGGACACGGTGACTGAGTTCATCAGAAAGTGTATGGGGGATTTAAGGATAACACAGTGCCATCGACGTGGCCCGCTCCCAAGGACTGTGGGCTCTCGTTCTCCGTGGCCGACGTGAGTAAGACATTTAAGCGTGTTAACCCTCGCTTGGCTGCCAGCCCAGACGGAATCCCTAGCCCCTTCCTCCGAGCATGCGTCAACCAGCTGGCTGGAGTGTTTACAGACATATTCAATCTCTCCCTATCCCAGTCTGCTGTCCCCACTTGCTTCAAGATGTCCACCATTGTTCCTGTACCCAGGAAAGCAAAGGTAACTGAATTAATGACTGTCGCCTCGTAGCACTCACTTCTGTCATCATGAAGTGCTTTGAGGCACTGCACACTGCCCTATACCATCTGGACAAGAGGAATACCTATGTAAGAATGCTGTTCATTGACTATAGCTTAGCCTTCAACACCATAGTACCCTCCAAGTTCATCATTAAGCTCGGGGCCCTTGATCTGAACCCCACCCTGTGCAACTGGGTCCTGGACTTCCTGACGGGCCGCCCCCGTTGTTCCTGTACCCAAGAAAGCAAAGGTAACTGAACTAAATGACTATCGCCCCGTAGCACTCACTTCTGTCATCATGAAGTGCTTTGAGAGGTTAGTTAAGGATCATATCACCTGTACCTTACCTGACACGCACCTCAATTTGCATACCACCCCAATAGATCAACAGATGATGCAATCGCCATCGCACTGCACACTGCCCTATCCCATCTGGACAAGAGGAATACCTATGTAAGAGTGCTGTTCATTGACTGTAGCTCAGCCTTCAACACCATAGTACCCTCCAAGTTCATCATTAAGCTCGGGGCCCTGGGTCTGAACCCCACCCTGTGCAACTGGGTCCTGGACTTCCTGACGGGCCGCCCCCAGGTGGTGAAGGTAGGAAACAAGACCTCCACTTCACTGATCCTCAACACAAGGGCCCCACAATGGTGTGTGCTCAGCACCCTCCTGTACTCCCTGTTCACCCATGACTGCGTGGCCACGCAAGCCTCCAACTCAATCATTAGGTTTGCAGACAACACAACAGTAGTAGGCTTGAATACCAAAAATGACGAGACTGCCTACAGGGAGGAGGTGAGGGCCCTGGCGGAGTGGTGCCAGGAAAATAACCTCTCCCTCAACGTCAACAAAACGAAGGAGCTTATCGTGAACTTCAGGAAACAGCAGAGGGAGCACGCCCCTATCCACATCGACGGGACTGCAGTGGAGAAGGTGAATAGCGTCAAGTTCCTCGCCGTACACAACATTAACAATCTGAAATGGTCCACCCCACACAAACAGTGTGGTGAAGAAGGTGCAACAGCGCCTCTTCAACCTCAGGAGGCTGAATAAATTCTGCTTGGCCCCAAAGACCCTCACCAACATTTACAGATGCACAATTGAGAGCATCCTGTCGGGCTATATCACCGCCTGGTACGGCAACTGCACCGCCCGCAACCACAGGGCTCTCCAGAGGGTGGTGCGGTCTGCCCAACGCATCACCGGGGGCACACTGCCTGCCCTCCAGGACACCTACAGCACCCGATGTCACAGGAAGGCCAAAAAGATCATCAAGGACATCAACCACCTGAGCCACGGCCTGTTCACCCCGCTACTATCCAAAGGTGAGGTCAGTACAGGTGCATCAAAGCTGGGACCGAGAGACTGAAAAACAGCTTCTATCTCAAGGCCATCAGACTGTTAAACAGCCATCACTAGCCGGCTTCCACCCGGTTACTCAACCCTGCACCTTAGAGGCTGCTGCCCTATAAACATAGACATGGAATCACTGGTCACTTTAATAATGTTTACATACTGCTTTGGTCATTTCATATGTTCAGTGAATTGGGAAAGTATTCAGACCCCTTGAATATTTCCCACATTTTGTTACATTACAGCCTTATTCTAAAATTGCTTAAATAATTTTTTCCCTCATCAATCTACACACAATAACCCATAATGACAAAGCGAAAACAGGTTTTTAGAAATGTTTTGTAACGTAACAAAATGTCAAAGGGTCTGAATACTTTCCGAATGCACTGGTATATACTGTATTCTATTCTGCTGTATTTTAGTCAATGCCACTCCAACATTGCTCGTCCTAATATTTATATATTTCTTAATTCACGTTCTTTTACTTTTAGATTTGTGTGTATTGTTGTGAATTGTTAGATACTACTGCACTGTTGGAGCTAGGAACACAAGCATTTCGCTACACCCACAATAACATCTGCTAAATATGTGTGTATGACCAATAAAATTTGATTTGATTTTGGGGGGCTGGTGTGGCGAGAGGGTGGTAGCTAGTTGCTACACTGGACGTTAGACATCTCCATGGGCATGAGGTGATGTCTAAAGAGTCCAGTACAGGGACAATAGTGATCCTGACAAATTAGATGGTGACCTTGGTCTGTGTGGAGCTCCTTGCCTCTGACCCCACCTCTTTTCTGTGACACCATTAGATGAGGAGATTACACCATTAACCCAGAGATAGAGACCAGCTTTCAGGCCTAAGTGGGCTGATGTGGTCAAGCACAGTTTGAAGAGAGAGGAACTGGACTATGCCTCTATCCCTCCCACCGTCTCAGCCTCCCTGTTGCCTCTATCCCTCCCACCGTCTCAGCCTCCCTGTTGCCTCTAACCCTCCCACCGTCTCAGCCTCCCTGTTGCCTCTATCCCTCCCACCGTCTCAGCCTCCCTGTTGCCTCTATCCCTCCCACCGTCTCAGCCTCCCTGTTGCCTCTATCCCTCCCACCGTCTCAGCCTCCCTGTTGTCTCTATCCCTCCCACCGTCTCAGCCTCCCTGTTGTCTCTATCCCTCCCACCGTCTCAGCCTCCCTGTTGCCTCTATCCCTCCCACCGTCTCAGCCTCCCTGTTGTCCTCTATCCCTCCCACCGTCTCAGCCTCCCTGTTGCCTCTATCCCTCCCACCGTCTCAGCCTCCCTGTTGTCTCTATCCCTCCCACCGTCTCAGCCTCCCTGTTGCCTCTATCCCTCCCACCGTCTCAGCCTCCCTGTTGTCTCTATCCTTCCCACCGTCTCAGCCTCCCTGTTGCCTCTATCCCTCCCACCGTCTCAGCCTCCCGGTTGCCTCTATCCCTCCCACCGTCTCAGCCTCCCGGTTGTCTCTATCCCTCCCACCGTCTCAGCCTCCCGTTGCCTCTATCCTCCCACCGTCTCAGCCTCCCGGTTGCCTCTATCCCTCCCACCGTCTCAGCCTCCCGGTTGCCTCTATCCCTCCCACCGTCTCAGCCTCCCTGTTGCCTCTATCCCTCCCACCGTCTCAGCCTCCCTGTTGCCTCTATCCCTCCCACCGTCTCAGCCTCCCTGTTGCCTCTATCCCTCCCACCGTCTCAGCCTCCCTGTTGCCTCTATCCCTCCCACCGTCTCAGCCTCCCTGTTGCCTCTATCCCTCCCACCGTCTCAGCCTCCCTGTTGCCTCTATCCCTCCCACCGTCTCAGCCTCCCTGTTGTCCTCTATCCTCCCACCGTCTCAGCCTCCCTGTTGCCTCTATCCCTCCCACCGTCTCAGCCTCCCTGTTGCCTCTATCCCTCCCACCGTCTCAGCCTCCCTGTTGCTCTATCCCTCCCACCGTCTCAGCCTCCCGGTTGCCTCTATCCTCCCACCGTCTCAGCCTCCCGGTTGCCTCTATCCCTCCCACCGTCTCAGCCTCCCTGTTGCCTCTATCCCTCCCACCGTCTCAGCCTCCCTGTTGCCTCTATCCCTCCCACCGTCTCAGCCTCCCTGTTGCCTCTATCCCTCCCACCGTCTCAGCCTCCCTGTTGCCTCTATCCTTCCCACCGTCTCAGCCTCCCTGTTGCCTCTATCCCTCCCACCGTCTCAGCCTCCCTGTTGCCTCTATCCCTCCCATCCATCTTCTCTCCCTGCCACAGCCCACCCACAGATCGCTGCCCGTAGGGGAGGCTACTGGCACAAGTGCTTCATTAAGTGGACTTCACCCTTTCCCTCCCTCTCCCACTCTCCTTCCTCTTGTTAAAGTCAATCAGAAAATTACACTGGATGAGAAAGCCACGATCATTACCGGTTCTCTGCCTGTCTTGAACACGCCTAAAGCCAGAAGATAATAAAGCTTATTTTTTCTCCTAGGTGGCCCCCAGGGGACCCTTTCATGTTTTACTGTTGTTACCTTGTTACAGTCTCTGAGGCCAGGGCTGACTGTTGCGTAATCCTACCTGCAGCTAGGCAATTAGTGTCACCAGATCTGTTCCCATATTTGCAACCAGAGCTAAATTATGTTTACATCGGCTTGATCCCAGACTTTTTTCACCTCGCTGCCCAAAAAAAGAGGCTGCCTGTATCCAGAGCACGATGCCAGGGAATACATTTTAATACACCTGTATTTTTCCAATGAAAAACTAAAATCTATCAGTATGTTGCCAAATACTGTCTTATATGAGGGCTTATCACATTATAAGGGAAGTAATTAGGAGAGGGGTTTTGGGCTGTGGATGACGGTGCAGGGTTAACTATATCAGATGCCAGTGCGGGGTTAAAAGGAGTTGGGTGCTAACTGCCAAGATGTAGTTCACTTCCCCAAAGCTGCCGAGGCCTATGTTTGAATGCGGAAGTTTCGATATCACTGCCATTTAATCTTCCAATAATGGCAAGGCAGCACTCAGCTGAAGGAGAAGGGCGAACATGAAGTGCTGGATGTCCATGTACACCGAAGAACACCACAAGACCTCAAATTAGCTAAAGCCCTCAGGCTTTGTTCCAGGCTTTACGCCTTTGAAGGAAATGGACTCTAACTGAATGGGACCGTCTGACGGTACTGAGGTGCATATATATATACACACACACAGTTTTGGCGGTTTTGGAGCAGTGGCTTCTTCCTTGCTGAGCGGCCTTTCAGGTTATGTCGATATACGACTCGTTTTACTGTGGATATAGATCTTTTTGTACCTGTTTCCTCCAGCATCTTCACAAGGTCCTTTGCTGTTGTTCTGGGATTGATTTGCACTTTTCGCACCAAAGTACGTTCATCTCTAGGAACAGATGAACGCGTCTCCTTCCTGAGCGGTATGACGGCTGCGTGGTCCCATGGTGTTTATACTTGCATACTATTGTTTGTACAGATGAACGTTGTACCTTCAGGCGTTTGGAAATTGCTCCTAAGGATGAACCAGTCTTGTGGAGGTCTACCATTTTTTTTTCTCAGGTCTTGGCTGATTTCTTTTGATTTTCCCATGATGTCAAACAAAGAGGCACTGAGTTTGAAGGTAGGCCTTGAAATACATCCACAGGTACACCTCCAAGTGATTTGAAATTATGTCAATTAGCCTATCAGAAGCTTCTAAAGGCATGACATCATTTTCTGGAATTTTCCAAGCTGTTTAAAGGCACAGTCAACTTAGTGTATGTAAACTTCTGACCCACTGGAATTGTGATACAGTGAATTATAAGTGAAATAATCTGTCTGTAAACAATTGTTGGAAAAATTACGTGTCATTCACAAAGTAGATGTCCTAACCAGAGCATATGAGCGGAGTGGAGCGGGAGCGAGCGTGGAGCGTGAGCGGACGGATTTTGAACAGAGCGCAGAGCGGCATTTTTAAAAGGACGGAGCGTCGCCCTATGTCCCGCTCCAATTTCGCTCGCTCACACCACGAGTCTGAAGCATGCTCAAGCCTGACCCAGAATCCATCTGTTTAATTTAATTTGTGTCGTCCATTAATTTGTATTTTATAGAGCGAGAGGAGCAGCAGCAGCAACAAGAGAAAAGGGTTGAGGAATTCAAAAGTTTATTCACTGCACGCAAAGGCCCAACCATAACAAGGGAGAGAAAAAGAGAGCTGGATGTAGCATTTTTTGAAATGATTTTCATGGACTATGAACCGCTGAGGAAAGGAGAACGCGAAGGGATGCAACACTTTGCCAGCGCAGCTCAACCGGGCTACACTCCCCCAAGAAACTATGATAAATCAGTACTTTACTTTGTCAAATTTACATCTGAGATGCCCCATTCACATGCTTCAGCTGGCGATCAAAAACGCCGTTAACAAGCACGACAACATTAATAGGCTGTTAGTGAAAGTCGGGCACCTGGTGAAAAGTGTACGCAAGAGCACAGAGGAAACCGACCAATTAGGTGTCCGCCCCACAAATGCCTGCGCCATTCGATGGAGCAGCCAGCTGCGGATGATTCAGTCGTTCATCCGGTTGTTCCAAAAAGACCCGTTATGGTAAAACAAACTCAAGTCTAATGTTGCTAACATCACCCTGAATCAAGGACGGCAGCTGACGCACCTTGTCAGTGTGCTGACACCACTAGCAGACCTCACAGACAAAATGCAGAAGGAGCTGGGGAACCTGGGGATGATCCTCCCTGCTGTCACAGAAATCAAATCCCTGCTCACCGATTACACTCACGCTGCACTTCCAATGGGCATCGCTGCTTTTGCAGAAACATTGGCAAACAACGTGTCAATTCGCTATGGAATATACTATACTGATTAACATCTCATTTTAGCGTCAGTGTTAGATCCCCGTTTCAAGACAGAATGGATAATCCGAGATGAGTCTGTATGCAACAAATTCGGGGAGATAAAGTAAGGCTGTGGTTTAAGCTAAAAGTGAAATACATGCAGATTTCGTTCCTTTTTTGGAGTGAGCGGGGGGCGATTTGAGTGGAGCGCGATGCAAACTGCGTTGAGCGCTGAGCGATAATGAGCGGACTGGCCTGATGTGGCTTTGAGCGGGGGGAGCGGAGGGGTGAACAGCTCCGTGAGCGAGGAGCTGAGATTCTCACCGCTCCACTCCGCTCATATGCTCTGGTCCTAACCGACTTGCCAAAACTATTGTTTGTTAACAAGAAATTTGTGGAGTGGTTGAAAAATGAGTTTTAATGACTCCAACCTAAGTGTATGTTAACTTCCGACTTCAACTGTACAGTCGTGGTCAAAAGTTTTGAGAATGACACAAGTATTGGTCTTCACAAAGTTTGCTGCTTCAGTGTTTTTGAGATATTTTTGTCAGATGTTACTATGGTATACTGAATTATAATTACAAACATTCCATAAGTGTCAAAGGCTTTTATTGACAATTACATTAAGTTTATGCAAAGAGTCAATATTTGCAGTGTTGACCCTTCTTTTTCAAGACCTCTGCAATCCGCCCTGGCATGCCGTCAATTAACTTCTGGGCCACATCCTGACTGATGGCAGCCCATTCTTGCATAATCAATGCTTGGAGTTTGTCCGAATTTGTGGGGTTTTGTTTTTCCACCCGCCTCTTGAGGATTGACCACAAATTCTCAATGGGATTATGGTCTGGGGAGTTTCCTGGCCATGGACCCAAAATGTCGATGTTTTGTTCCCCGAGCCACTTAGTTATCACTTTTGCCTTATGGCAAGGTGCTCCATCATGCTGGAAAAGGCATTGTTCGTCACCAAACTGTTCTTGGATGGTTGGGAGAAGTTGCTCTCGGAGGATGTGTTGGTACCATTCTTTATTCATGGCTGTGTTTTTAGGCAAAATTGTGAGTGAGCCCACTCCCTTGGCTGAGAAGCAACCCCACACATGAATGGTCTCAGGATGCTTTACTGTTGGCATGACACAGGACTAATGGTAGCGCTCACCTTGTCTTCTCCGGAAAAGCTTTTTTCCGGATGCCCCAAACAATCAGAAAGGGGATTCATCAGAGAAAATGACTTTACCCCAGTCCTCAGCAGTCCAATCCCTGTACCTTTTGCAGAATATCAGTCTGTCCCTGATGCTTTTCCTGGAGAGAAGTGGCTTCCTCGCTGCCCTTCTTGACACCAGGCCATCCTCCAAAAGTCTTCGCCTCACTGTGCGTGCAGATGCACTCACACCTGCATGCTGCCATTCCTGAGAAAGCTCTGCACTGGTGGTGCCCCGATCCCACAGCTGAATCAACTTTAGGAGACGGTCCTGGCGCTTGCTGGACTTTCCTGGGTGCCCTGAAGCCTTCTTCACAACAATTGAACCTCTCTCCTTGAAGTTCTTGATGATCTGATAAATGGTTGATTTAGGTGCAATCTTACTAGCAGCAATATCCTTGCCTGTGAAGCCCTTTTTGTGCAAAGCAATGATGACGGCAAGTGTTTCCTTGCAGGTAACCATGGTTAACAGAGGATGAACAATGATTTAAAGCACCACCCTCCTTTTAAAGCTTCCAGTCTGTTATTCTAACTCAATCAGCATGACAGAGTGATCTCCAGCCTTGTCCTCGTCAACACTCTCACCTGTGTTAACGAGACAATCACTGACATGATGTCAGCTGGTCCTTTTGTGGCAGGGCTGAAATCCAGTGGAAATGTTTTTGGGGGATTAAGTTCATTTTCATGGCAAAGAGGGACTTTGCAATTAATTGCAATTCATCTGATCACTCCTCATAACATTCTGGAGTATATGCAAATTGCCATCATAAAAACTGAGGCAGTAGACTTTATGAAAATTAATATTTGTGTCATTCTCTTTTGACCATGACTGTAAATTCATACAGTACCAGTCAAAAGTTTGGTCACACCTACTCATTCAAGGGTTTTTCTTTATTTTTACTATTTTCTAAATTGTAGAATAATAGTGAAGACATCAAAACTATGAAATAACACATATGGAATCATGTAGTAACCAAAAAAGTGTTAAACAAATCGAAATATATTTTATATTTGAGATTCTTCAAAGTAGCCACCCTTTGCCTTGATGACAGCTTTGCACACTCTTGGCATTCTCTCAACCAGCTTCATGAGGAATGCTTTTCCAACAGTCTGGAAGGAGTTCTCACATGCTGAGTACTTGTTGGCTGCTTTTCCTTCACTCTGCGGTCCAACTCATCCCAAACCATCTCAATTTGGTTGAGGTCGGGTGATTGTGGAGGCCAGGTCATCTGATGCAGCACTCCATCACTCTCCTTCTTGGTCAAATAGTCCTTAAACAGCCTGGAGGTGTGTTGGGTCATTGTCCTGTTGAAAAACAAATGATAGTCCCATTAAGCACAAACCAGATGGGATGGCTTATCGCTGCAGAATGCTGTGGTAGCCATGCTGGTTAAGTGTGCCTTGAATTCTAAATAAATCACTGATAGCGTACCCAGCAAAGCACCCCCACACCATCACACATCTTCCTCCATGCTTCATGGTGGGAACCACACATGCAGAGATCATCCGTTCACCTACTCTGCGTCTCAGAAATACACGGCGGTTGGAACCAAAAAATCTCAAATTTGGCCTAATCAGACCAAAGGACAGATTTCCACCGGTCTAATGTCCTTTGCTCGTGTTTTTTGGCCCAAGCAAGTCTCTTCTTATTATTGGTGTCCTTTAGTAGTGGTTTCTTTGCAGTAATTCGACCATGAAGTCCTGATTCACGCAGTCTCCTCTGAACAGTTGAATTTGAAATGCGTCTGTGACTTGAACTCTGAAGCATTTATTTGGGCTGCAATTTCTGAGGCTGGTAACTCTAATGAACTTATCCTCTGCAGCAGAGGTAACTCTGGGTCTTCTTTCGTGTGGCGAGCCAGTTTCATCATAGCTCTTGATGTTTTTTGCGAGTTCACTTGAAGAAACGTTCAAAGTTCTTGAAATGTTCCGTATTGACTGACCTTCATGTCTTAAAGTAATGATGGACTGTCGTTTCTCTTTGCTTATTTGAGCTGTTTTTGCCATAATATGGACTTGGTCTTTTACCAAGTAGGGCTGTCTTCTGTATATATCCCCCCCAACCACCACCTTGTCACAACACAACTGACTGGCTCAAACGCATTAAGAAGGAAAGAAATTCCACATGAATTTTTATGAAGGCACACCTGTTAATTGAAATGCATTCCAGGTGAATACCTCATGAAGCTGGTTGAGAAAATGCCAAGAGTGTGCAAAACTGTCAAGGCAAAGGGTGGCTTCTTTGAAGAATCTCAAATATAAAATATATTATTTGTTTAACGCTTTTTTGGTTACTACATGATTCCATATGTGTTATTTCATAGTTTTGATGTCTTCACAATTTTTCTACAATGTAGAAAATAGTAAAATAAAGAAAAAACTTTGGCTGGTACTGTATACGTATGTGTGTATTTGTATATGTGTGTGTGTGTGTGTGCGCTCTCGCTTCGATGTATGCGTGGCTGTGGGCCCACACCACGGCTACCCTTGCCACCACTCCTGAAATAAATCCTCTGGTAAACTCTGTGTGTTAGCATTACACGCCTCAGTGTGTCTGTGCGCTAATATCCACAGGGCCTCAGAGCGACTCAGCTCCCCCTTTATTTCTCGCTCTCTCTCTCTGCATTCTAAATTAATGTGAAGGTCCCCCCCCCCTAATGGGTGTCTCCGCCTCCACCTGCCTTCTGTTTGTCACGGTAGTTGCACCTGGGGGACACACACACACACACACACACACTATCGTGCCTCGTACTCTGCTAGAGAAAAGCTGTTTGATAACAAGTCTTACAGGTGTGATATTGTAGGGTTGCCTATATTCTCGGTTGGAGGAAATATGTTTTATTACAAAGCGGAAGTCTTACAGGGTGATATTGTAGGGTGGGTCACCTCTCCCCTGATTTAACCTGTGTATGTCACTGTCTTCTTCCTCTTCTTCTCTCCCTGCAGTATTGCCATGGTGACCAAGGAGAACATGACATCCCAGAGAGGGCTGTTGAAGTCCATACAGAGCAGGGTCAACACTTTGGCCAGTATCCTTTACAACACCCAGCAAACCTTATGAATATTGGAGGTTCTACATTAAACATCATGTTGTTTAGTCCAGGACTAGCCTTAATCTGTGTCTGGGAAGCCAACCCTATGTTCATATATGTGTGAGAAAGAACAAATTCACATGAAAAAAATATTCACAAATATACTTATTTTGCGTTTTAACCAGACAATACATTCTGGAAATTGTCCAGGTATCATGTGTTTTTAACAACTTTTATTAGATCATAATTGTCTTTTAATGCCACTTAGTATACATTTTTATCCAAAGCAATTTACAGAGTGTACATGTTAAGTGATCTCCGCAGGAACTGAACCCACGACCTTGGCATTGTTGGTGCAATTCTCTTACTCGTTAGGTCCTCTATTTAACATACTATTACCTCATGTGAGCTGAAACCAGACAGCAATAGAGTCCCTTAAACAATGAATGCCAGAGTGCCTGTCGGTACACATTACACATCCTAACTGCTTAAAAGGCACACTGGGCATGTTTCAGTTAGAACGTTTTATCTCAGTGTGAGGCTCCAATTTCAGTTTGTGGGTGTATCCAAAATGTATCCATCCCAGCCAGCTTTAAAGACGTCCTTCAGTGGTTTTCGAACTTTTCCTGTTGAAAAGTGATATCCCAAGTATAAATATAGTGTAGTACACGTCACTTCTCTTCTGCCTGGCATCTTCTCTTTGCTCAGAGCATTGTTTTCAGGCCTTCCGGCCGGGCGATTCGATATCTTCCTCACACGGGGCACCAACACCAGCCTCTAAGGAAATATCTGAGCATGCTGAGCAATTTGATCCATTCTGGTCCATTTAACTGACTGGGGGGATTGAGAGGCTTAAATTGCTCCATTCCTCACTCCTGCTAGGGTTCTGTGAACAACATATAGGATAATATTTCACTTTGCTGTCAAAAGAGAAGATCAGTTGCCTGTTTCAGAGATTTCAGAACAGACAAAATAATTAGCAATGACACCAGAAAAGCAGGCAGTTTAGCTTTTTTAGATTGTAATGAAGGATTAAGGCCAGAGGGGGTGTGGTATATGGCCAATATACCACGTCTAAGGGCTGTTCTTAGGTACGACGCAACACGGATACAGCCCTTAGCCGTGGTATATTGGCCATATACCACAAACCCTGAGGTGCCTTATTGCTATTATAAACTGGTTACCAATGTAATTAGAGCAGTAAAAATAAAGGTTTTGTTCTATACGGTCTTATATACAACAGCTTTCAGCCAATCATCATTCAGGGCTCGAACCACCCAGTTTATAATTCCAATGTAATGATTATCTGAACATTACTTGTAATAAGAGGTGGTTCACTGTTTCCCTTAACTTCCTCCTCCAGATCGTTTCCCAGCCATCAACAACCTCATCCAGCGAATCAACCTGCGGAAGAGGCGGGACTCCCTAATCCTGGGCGGAGTCATCGGCGTCTGCACCATCCTCCTGCTGCTCTACGCCTTTCACTGATGACGGACAGACCGGTCGTACAATCGGTACTCTGCGTTTGTAACATCGGAATCAGAACTCTGGAGAATGGGCTTGAGTGATTGGAGGCCGCTGGACGGACGGACGGACTGACGGACGGACAGACAGACATCCTCTTGGCCCAATCAGTTAACAGGATTGATCAAAGCCAGCATGGACTTCCTGATTTGTATTTAGCAGTGGGAGGGGAGAAGGAGATGGGGAGATGGAGCAGCATCTTTTTTTTTTTTTTTCCTATCAAAAGTGAATGTGCTGTTCAACTCTGGTTAAGGGAACGGAGACCAAATGTACTAATATGACTAGATTTTAAAGAATTATATATAAAGAACACTTGCTTCAAGAAGGAGTTAAAGGCTCTGAAGACAGACTGCGGAAACGAAAGAGGGGGACTGTTTGCTGTCGATGTTGTAGATTTCTGAGGTGGAAGGATTTTTAGTTGAATGGTCCTTTTTTAGTGACGGGAGATTCAGGATGTTCATCATCATCATCATGGCCTGTACAATGTGCATTATTAATAAATTATTCATATACAGTATGTGATACTAGGCACTTAACATTTTATTTTTCAATATATATTTTTTTGAACTTCGACATGTATTGAGAAATTGTATTTTTTCATTGAAGACCATTGATGGAACTCTAGTGCTGCAAATTCTGTTGTGCTGCATGGATGACTTCATAATCACTGTAGTACTTTAAACAATGGCCACATACAGGTGTATGGTTAAACCAAAACTCTGAAAGTCTCTGACTTCTTTCATTACGTGTTTCCCTCAACTTACTTAATATGCCACTTAGCAGACACTTATCCAAAGTAACTTGCAGTACAGTGAGTGCATGCATACATTTTTAGTGTGTATGTGTTTCCCTGTGGTAATCGGACCCACGACCTTGGTGTTGCTAGCACCACGCTCTCACCAACTGAGCCACACAAGATCGCTTGAAGTCCAGAGATCTGTAAGAGTGATCAGCCTTTAGCCCTTTTTTAATTTATTTTTTATTTCACCTTTATTTAACCAGGTAAGCCAGTTGAGAACAAGTTCTCATTTACAACTGCGACCTGGCCAAGATAAAGCAAAGCAGTGCGATAAAAACAACAACACAGAGTTACATATGGGGTAAAAAAACAAAGTCAAAAGAATACAACAGAAAATATATATACAGTGTGTGCAAATGTAGCAAGTTATGGCAATAAATAGGCCATAGTGCAAAATAGTTACAATTAGTATTAACACTGGAATGCTAGATGTGCAAGAGATTATGTGCAAATAGAGATACTGGGGTGCAAAAGAGCAAAATAAATAACAATATAGGGATGAGGTAGTTGGGTGGGCTAATTTCAGATGGGCTGTGTACAGGTGCAGTGATCGGTAAGGTGCTCTGACAACTGATGCTTAAAGTTAGTGAGGGTGATAAGTCTCCAGCTTCAGAGATTTTTGCAATTCGTTCCAGTCATTGGCAGCAGAGAACTGGAAGGAATGGCGGCCAAAGGAGGTGTTGGCTTTGGGGATGACCAGTGAGATATACCTGCTGGAGCGCAGACTACGGGTGGGTGCTGCTATGGTGACCAATGAGCTAAGATAAGGCGGGGATTTGCCTAGCAATGATTTATAGATGGCCTGGAGCCAGTGGGTTTGATGATGAACATGTAGTGAGGACCAGCCAACGACCGTACAGGTCACAGTGGTGGGTAGTGTATGGGGCTTTGGAGACAAAACGGATGGCACTGTGATAGACTACATCCAATTTGCTGAGTAGAGTGTTGGAGGCTATTTTGTAAACGACATCGCCGAAGTCAAGGATCGGTAGGATAGTCAGTTTTACGAGGGCATGTTTGGCAGCATGAGTGAAGGAGGCTTTGTTGCGAAATAGGAAGCCGATTCTAGATTTAACTTTGGATTGGAGATTCTTAATGTGTCTGGAAGGAGAGTTTACAGTCTAACCAGACACCTAGGTATTTGTAGTTGTCCACATACTCTAGGTCAGACCTGTCGAGAGTAGTGATTCTAGTCGGGTGGGCGGGTGCCAGCAGCGTTCGATTGAAGAGCATGCATTTAGTTTTACTAGTGTTTAAGAGCAGTTGGAGGCTACTGAAGGAGTGTTGTATGGCATTGAAGTTTGTTAACACAGTGTCCAATGAAGGGCCAGATGTATACAAAATGGTGTCGTCTTCGTAGAGGTGGATCTGAGATTCACCAGCAGTCTGTGTCTGTGCTTCTTCATGATCTAGGACCTACTAAGTCCTACCTTGAGATAGGCAGAAGTCAACAAACCTTAAATCATACATGGATGTCAACTGGAAATCTGTGCTCAAATTTAATTTCCAAACAGATTTTAAAAGTTGTGATTCTATTCTACCCTATGTGCCCATCATGATACAGAGCCTCAAACCTCTGTCTCCCATTCTGCCTCACCCTATTCTACCTCCTGGAGAAGATAAAGTGAAGCATGAGTTCACAGGGAACTCCCAGCCAGTGTTTGATAATACGAACTGAAAGGAGCTCACTGGAGATGAAGGCTGTTTGTGTGAGCAGGGAGGTAGACACTGAGCAGAACTAAGCTAAGTGCTAACTAATCTAACCACCAAAGGATTGGCTGTAGTTTTGGATAGAAGCCTATCCTACTGTAGCTCAGCGTGCTGTGAGAAACACCAGTCTGTTTGTGTCTCACAGTGTAAGTGGCTGTAGTAGAAACCCTATTGAGATCAGTCTTAACAAAGGAAAGCTTCTGTTCAGTAGTCTTTGCCAAATCATTTGATCATTCTGGTTCATTCCCAGTAATCCCCCCCAGTTCTGAGCTGAATAATTGGTTATTCGACTAACATTTAACATCCCTAATATGAACGTTGATTTGAAAGATGCTACAGTTGGAAGGAGTTTTGTTTTTTTAACTTGAAATTGTCAGTGGCATTTTAAGTGGTTTTACAGTGGAAGAGGCTGCAGATGTTACAGTAAACAAGGCTGCAGCAGCTAGATTACTGTTTAATGGGGAAATCAGGTGCTCTGACATTAATTCACTCTGACAATCGGATGAGAGTCACCTCCACACACTCCCTCAGACGTCTGTTTTGTAAAACTGAATGCACCTGCCTGCTTGTGAGCGTGCGTACGTACGTAAGTGCACAAGTGTATGTGTCGTGACAGCCACACTGCACGGGAGATGTAACTGCAGTCTGCGGGGGGTGACGGCTTCCCCCCAGGACTCTACAGGAACCTGTCATCACTCCCCTGTCACCTCCATAGTCAACTACTGAGTTTTACATGAATTACCTTGTCTTTCTGTCTTGTCAAACCTTACATCTCACCATTTATCATCTGGTAACTAGACAGGGATGTTTTAGTCACTAAGTTGATTACATTTTATCAGTGGACGGTGAAATATTGAAGTTTGGTATATTGGTATAGGTACATGAAGTGGAAATATCTTAAACCATTCTAAGTACACCCATTTTCCCCTTTTTCATGTGATGTGTCACTGTCCACTTTATTCCTTTATCTCTATTTTCAGGTTTCTCTCTTCTCTGGAGGGCAAATGGAGGACTGTATGTTGTCATCTGAGTGCAGTACTGCTATCGGTCTATAACTGGTTCAACAAACATCCATACAGTTAACACAGCTAGCCTACTCTGGTGCTACAGTGTAGAGCTTCTGAATATTTCAGATCCTTTTGTCTGGTTTGAAGATCACTGGGGTAGAACTAAGTATTGTGTACTTTCACTGTAACTCAAGTTCTTCCACAAAGAAGTAAAAAGTCAGCTGATTGTAGCACAGCACACAGATGCAAGACACAGGAGGGAGTCTAATGGCGTATAGGAGAACCACAAACAAGAAAGAAGTAAAGGTGGCGACACCAAAAAACAGAAGACGACTATTTGAGAAATAAAGCAAACATTTTGTTTTTGTGGGTCCATAGACCTTTCAAGCACACTTGACTTGCGAGTCTCAATCTATTTCTGGTTTCATCCCCATGGTAAGTTTTCCAGTGCAGCAGGACATACCAAGGGGCTACTGCTGTAAAGAGACCCAATCTTATTCTTTAATAATCAATAAAAAATACTACAAAAAATGTTCATTCCGTGTAGTCATTTGTGCGGACTGCATTTTGGGTTTTATGAGAGAACTGGAGGTGTGTGTGTCGGTGCGTGCGTGTTTGTAAACCCTGTGCTTTGAGTGTTCTGTTATACGTTATGTGTGAGAGAAAAAAGGAGTGAGGTTGTCAAAGGGTGTGTGTGTGCTGACATGAGGGTTTAGCTCCACACCTTTCCCTGTTCCAGACAGAAACATTAACTTTGATCATTATGTCAGTGGAGCTGCTGCTGCTTTACTCCAGACATCACTTTAAAGGCGGAGTTGTCTGACCCTTTACGCCCCCCTCACACACTACTCAGCAGTTCCCCCCTAGACCATTCCTCTATGGCATACACACTGTCCATCCACAAGCACACATACACATCCATCAATGCCAAACCAACCAGCATAAATCAGTCCAACTCACTGTAGACCATGCATGGTAACGTTTATTCCAGACATGCAGAATGTTCACAACAGAGAGATGGAAACCAGCATATACATATGCTATCCAAAGGGGAAAAAATCAGGACATGAATAGAAAGTCACTGTTTTACTGACACAGAACATCACGTATGCATCTCGCAGCAGAAATATGGTCAGGTGAAGTATGTGATAGAACAGTGTGGAAGGTGAGTGTGATACTTCAAGTGATAACAGAGAAATTACCACTAAAATGTGTCTTATGGGAATCAAGTTGAATTTTCGCTCTTCAATGGCAGACTGAGTCAGTGAATCTCCCCTGCTCTATTTCGGTCACCCTCTCTCTCTCTCTCTCTCTGCCATTTGCTCTTACTGTATGAAATAAGAACAGCCATCTACTTTCTCCCCTAAATCAGGTTTCTAAAAGCCCTTTAGGTGTGTGTGGGAAGTTAGTTTGTGTGAGAAGTTTCCAGACTGAGCCATGCCTGTTGC